GCATTCTTCAGCCCAACAGCATCGTCATGGAAGGTCCCGACTTCCGCAATCTCAGCAAGCGAGAACAGGAAAAGATCATTCCGCAGCTCCACGTGTTGGCCCGTTCTAGCCCCGAAGACAAGCGGATTCTTGTGAAGCGACTCAAGGACAAGGGTGAAACGGTTGCTGTGACGGGTGACGGCACAAACGATGCCCCCGCGCTGAAGATGGCCGATGTAGGTTTCTCTATGGGCATCGCCGGCACCGAAGTGGCCAAAGAAGCTTCGGCTATTATTCTCATGGACGACAATTTCGCCAGCATCGTCAAAGCCCTGAAGTGGGGCCGTGCTGTCAACGATGCCGTCAAGCGATTCCTCCAGTTTCAACTCACTGTGAACATCACTGCCGTTGTCTTGACATTCGTTACTGCCGTTTCGAGCGAGTCGGAGAAGTCTGTCTTGACTGCCGTCCAGCTGCTGTGGGTGAACTTGATCATGGATACCCTTGCAGCGCTAGCTCTTGCTACAGACCCCCCACAAGACAGCGTTCTTGACAGGAAACCTGAGCCCAAGGGCGCGTCGATAATCTCTATCACTATGTGGAAGATGATTATTGGCCAGGCGCTGTACCAACTCGCCATCACATTCCTCCTGTACTATGGAAGCCCCAAGGGAATCTTGCCCCTCCCAGGCCCAGATGACATTCCTGAGCCCGAACAAATCAATACGCTGGTGTTTAACACATTTGTGTGGATGCAAATTTTCAACCAGTGGAAGTAAGTGGCTGCCAAACCCGAGTTTGTAGTTTGTTTGACCAGGATGCTAACCAGCCACCATCAGCAACCGACGGTTGGACAACAAGTTCAACATCTTTGAGGGTCTCAGCAGGAACTGGTTCTTCATAGGCATCAGCATCATCATGTGCGCTGGACAGGTGATTATTATCTTCTTTGGTGGTGCCGCTTTCCATATTGCCGATCAACCTGAGGACAAGGCGATTTGGGGCACACTCTGGGCCATCGCAATTGTTCTTGGATTCATCTCGATACCCGTCGGCATCATCATTCGACTGATTCCCGATTGGATCATTCTGGCCTTGGTGCCAGAGTTCTTGAAGAAGAGGTCGCACTCTGTACCCGGGCTGACCATCTCAGATGAAGAAATGGAGATGTACCCAGAGCCACTGGCGGAGTTGCGGGACGAATTGAACTTCCTCAGGCGGGTCAAGGGTGGCCGCCTAAACAACTTGAAGTTTGCTATTCAACACCCCAGGGAAACTATTATGCAGCGATCGCGCAGCCCGTCGCACTCGAGATCGAACTCGATGCATGCACCGCAAACTCCTACAGGAGAGGATAACTATGTATCGCCTTTTGCGACACCCAACTCTGGGGCAAGATCAGGATCAAACCGATCCCGTTCAAACTCGGCGGTGCGCGCTACCACTCTCATGTCTGGCGGTGTCTCTGCCGGTGTTGGAGCCGGATGGTCACCGGCGGGCCGAGTGTCTGCGGAGGAAATGCAAGAAGGCTCGAATAATAGTAACAACAAGACGGCAGAAAAGCGAAATGAAGGAGGAGATACCAGCGAATCGCGCAAATGAGAGTAAAACTACTGCCTTTTTTTTTCGCTTTGTTGCTTTTGGTTTTGGACCAGGCGCTGTATCATAAGGGGTATGGAAACCCAGCCTATTTTTTTATGTTACTTATTTTATTAGACATGCCGCATTACACATGAAGAACCTTGATTTCAAACGCGGCGGTGCGCGCTACCACTCTCATGGCAGGCGTTGTCGCTGCCGGTGTTGGAGCCGGATGGTCACCGGCGGGCCGAGTGTCTGCGGAGGAAATGCAAGAAGGCTCGAATAATAGTAACAACAAGACGGCAGAAAAGCGAAATGAAGGAGGAGATACCAGCGAATCGCGCAAATGAGAGTAAAACTACTGCCTTTTTTTTTCGCTTTGTTGCTTTTGGTTTTGGACCAGGCGCTGTATCATAAGGGGTATGGAAACCCAGCCTATTTTTTTATGTTACTTATTTTATTAGACATGCCGCATTACACATGAAGAACCTTGATAGCTTTGGTCGTTTACATATAAAGAGTGGATATATTCTTGTCGATAGCATTGCCGATGGCCTGAAATCAACGACTTTCAAGGCTATTATGAGCATTTGCCGTAAAAGGGCCCGACGAGTTGTACTAGTGACGTAAATGTAAAATACAAAAGCAGATAACTTTTTGAGCCTGGTGGCTGTCGAATTTGGACAGACGGCACCTGGGCCTTGTCTCGCCAAAGCTGTTCCTGGAGGGCAGGAGGGAGGGCTCTTTATGATGTGTCGGATGCTTGGGTAATAAATGAGTGTGATGGATTGGCAAGCAACTCATGTTGCGGTCCATGTGGTTGGTCCCGATTTTCGTGTTGCGCTCGACGACGGGGGCCCCGCGAACTACATAGGTCCATCATCCATGCTCGTCGCCATCTTGTTTGTACAAAACGTGCTCGGTACGGTTGGCCTAGTTCAACCGTAGTTACAGATACAAGATGTGCTCCTGGGCTGTGGCAGCGTGGTGGGAAAAAAGCGCGCAAACGCATCCAATCGAACCATTGAATAGTATGTGCTTGCTGGGGCGACGGGCGGGGGGGGGGGGGGCGGGGGGCTTGTGTTGG